CTTGTGCTTATAGGCTCAAGTAACCTTGCTTCAGCTTCCTTACTAGCGGCCACATAGGCATGTGCCATATCTGACCAAAGCACCTTTCAGTCACTCTGTCTGTGGGAAAGTGGGTAGTTCAGGGGCCTCTGATGACAAGCCCAACGGAAGAACAGCTGGCATTGATGCTTCCTGAGCCCATGCTGTGCTGGGGACTAGAGGTCACATCAAATTAGGACGTTGATGGGTGGGGTGTGGCACTGATCAAAAAGGTTTCCTGGCTCCTGCTTCCACTGCTTATTTCTTTTTAAAATTGAACTGAGATTAAGTTACCAAATATGAGTTATTTTTCTTAATTTATTTCTTTGTCTAGTTTCTCAGGAGTATCCAGTCAGTAAGAGACCCAGCGTCTATTCCTCCTGAGGAGATGGTGAGTAGATGCCTTTTGTGAAACTAAGTCAGCCTCTGCTGTGCAACAGTGGAAAACTAAAAGACCCTAACCGTTTCCTCTGCCCAGTTTACTAAATTATAGATGTCTCATGATGACCTTTTAATCTTACTATCACAGTTAGGGGACCAGTTTATGGACTGTGTTTGTATAAAGATGGAGATGCCCCAGTGTGGCGAGAGCATCATATTTATTTCTTGAGAAGTTGTACTTTGCTAGAGGCCGTGATTATGGGGGAAGCAGTGGCCTCATCCTTCCTCTGCATCATCCCAGCCACATGCCTTCCTAGCTGCTCACAGCAGTAATTTCTGGGCATGTGCAAGAGGGTTGTTAATACCGTGGTGAGGAAAGGGCCATTTACTAGTCTAGAAGGTGTACCCTTTACACAGTTTTTACGAGCCCTAAATAAAGCACCAACCTCCAGAGACAATGTGCTCTACAGGAAATGTAAGCCCAACTGTAAGCTTAAGAGACCTGAGATTTGCAGTCTCAGGGTTAACCAATCCGTTGTATATGCATAGACTATGAATTTTTTTTAAAAACTGATGATGTATGGATTTTAAGTCAGTTGATCAGCATTTTGAAAATGTTGAAAATATCACTGGGCATGCCAGAGTATAAGAAAAAACATTGTTTTATGAACTTTTGTTTTCATTGTGTGTGTATAACCATTGGATTATGTATAATATTTTTAATCCTGGGTTTCAGTCAAACACAATACAGAAAGCCACAGATAAGTATTTTCTCTTTGTTCATATATGATATTTTTAAATCTTTGATAAGCTTCTTCCATCAACTAATAGGTCAAAATTTTTTCCATTTTTGAGAGAGACCTACGATTTTAATTGACATACAGTTGTACCAATTTGTCACATACTGTGTGCTAACAATTCTTAAAACCTGTGAGTGTGGTACCATGAAGTTAGAATTGAGTATAATAAATGCAAACATTGAAGAATATTGGAGACAGCTTATAAAGCAGGTCCTCTTGTTCTAATAGTCTTACTGCATTTAGTCTCCAGAATTTGCAGCCCTTCCCGAGTCCCATGGCCATGCCCGAGATGCCTATTCCTTCGGAACTCTGGTGGACAGTTTGCTCCCCGTCTTGAATGAGCAGGGTGAGTTGGAGCTGTATGGCCACATGCATAGACTAAGTAGAAAAGGCTCCCCAGCCGCTCCACCACAGCCGCTCCGCGTGAACTCCAAGGACTACAGTCTTTAGTGTAGTGGGGAACCCACTGCTCACCACACTGTTTACTTAGGACAAATAGCAGCACCAAAAGGGGAGAAGCTCGGGGTTCCGTAAGGATGAATAATAAAAAGGAATTTTAAGTAGGAAGCATTTGAATAGTGGCTGTCCCCATCATATGTGATTGTCTTCAGAGTTCATTATTGAGTTCTTCTGTGGCTAATAAATGCCCTTAGTGACTGAGATGTGATAGCCTACTTCTGCTAAAATTTACTCAGTATTTTTTCTCGTGTGTCCTCTTAAAGCCCGTCTACTTAGACAGTTCTCTGTTCCCTCTGTGTTCTCTAATGGCATGCTTGGCAGCCTGAGTCACCCTCCTGGGATGGACTCTAGGACATTAACTCTGCACCTTTGAAGGTTACTGAGGTGTGTGACACATTAGGTCCTTTTTAGTGGCCTATCTCACTCTGTTGACACTTCTCCAAGTGCCAGTATAGCTTCTACCATGATATGCAGTGTTCTGGTATTAGAAGGCTTTGGCTATCAACTTGAATACTTGAGAATTAAAGCCTAAGGCTCTAAGGCATTGTTGTGCTTTTTTGAACTAACTACTCCCTCATGTACCTATAATGGTGGCAAATGTGTACAAGAGTTGAAAATATAGGCATTCAGTCAGCTCTCTGTTGAAAAGGACCTGCCCAAAAAAGATCTTCAAACCTGCCCCCCTTTTGAACCACCATTTTGGATATCAGTGGGTTAAAAATGAGGAAATGGGGGGATGCAGAAGGGAGGCACCTGCGGCCGGCCGTGTGGCTGGGCCGTGTGGCTGTGCTGGCAGGGCAGCGCTGTCTACCTGCTGTGGATCTGGCCTGTACGACGCGAGTCATGCAGCAACAGCGGGGCTCTGTGTGCTTGGGCTTTTGCAGGTTGGTTTTTGCTCTCGTCAGTCTCCACCTAGAGAGGTCCGGAAAGAGGGAGAAGGCACTGGAACTAACTTAGCTCTGGATTTCAGTTTCAGCGGATGTTCTCTCCAGCTTCCTACAGACCTTGCACTCAGCTCTACTGAATCCCACGCCAATGTGTCGACCAGCGCTCAGCACCTTACTGTCCCATGACTTCTTCAGGTGAGGCGTCAGGTGACATGATGGAGAGAGACTCGTTGCCTCTCAGGGTCCCATCACAGAAAGTTTTAGGAATTCTGTCATGAAAGAATTTTATCCAGATTCACTAGGGATTTTGATTATAAAGAAACTAATCTGTGTGAAATAGTTATATGTTAATTGAGAAAGTAGATAAACATGGCCTCTGTCTGCTGCCACTGCATTACTGGGACATGTTCTCTGGTATGTGTTGGGAGGGGGGCAAGTTTGTGTTTCTTCCAGCAGTAGACTGTTTCCTTTGTCCCAGAATATGTACAAGTCAGTTAGAAGGAAGGGCACAATGTAAATACTTTCTGGGTTCACAGATGGTATTGAATTGTCAAGGGTAGTTTTAATTATATGGTCTTTCACTTCTTTAGCCACAGACCTTGTGCCCAGGTTAGTCCCAAGTTTATGAATTTTATTAGCAAAGCTAACCTGGTGTTTTTTAAACAAAGTATCCTTTTGTGTTGTACTCAGAGAGCTTGGCAGGAAGCAGAGCAAAGGACAGCTGTGCTGCTCCTGAGATGAGCCACCTCTAGAGAGGCACATTTTAGGATTACTGAATTAGTGCCTGTAGTTACCAGGAGTACAGTTGCCATTTATGGTTTTAACTTTTTCCAGTGTAGCAGGTTACGGCCTCCATTTATTTCCTAAATTGACAAATACAATTGTATATATTTACATGTACAAGTCTTCAACAATTATTATTATAAACATGTATTTTCTTGTGTTTGCAGATGATTTTTAGAAATCCTCTATTTTTCATGATATAAAATCTCTACAAAGATAATTTATTGTAGTAAATTGTCACCACTATGTGTAATACAAGTTCTCTAAGAAATGTGTATTAATATAAAGGGAAGAAAAAAAACCAAATAGCACTCCAACCCACACTTGACACCTCCACTGTGGTATGAGGAGTAAAGATGTCAGAGGCCACAGGCTGAAGAGGTCAGCACCCATCACTGAGGCAGCTGAGCCGGTTTCATTCCCTTCAAGACACTGGTGCAGAGCATTGGGCAGACACTGATGACGGGTTCGGAATGCACAGGTCCACATGGGTTTGACATGAATCTTTAAAGTTTAAAAAATTGAAACTCTGAGACAAATTTCATAGCCTAGAAATATCAAAGGGAGAAACAGATGTGTGATGAACACATAAAATAAATGTAGATAGTCTATTATTTGGGTCCATGAAGTATAAACAAGTTGTCCTTATAAGAAGCCAAAGTTTATGAACACATACTCATACATTTATAGACCATATATGGTATTTACAGTGAGACATGAACAGTGTATTAGGAAAAGCTCATTGGCGCACATATTGCTGGTGTGCTACATACAGCGCTGCAGGTGTTACCATGGAACAACACACGATATGAATCAGCTCAGAAAAGCGGAAAAATGGCTGATGCAGTACAAAGTGGTTTTTTGAGTTTCTTGTGTATTTTCCACTGTGTTTTAACTCATGCACCATAGAAAAGTATGTTAGTAGACTTTTCATTAAAGCATCTGGTCAACACCAGGCTAATGGGAATTAAGTTTTGGAGAAGTTAAAGTCACGTGATTTTCTCTGCGGAAGAAGTCATGGGAGTCAGTGCCCTGGTGATGAGCTGTCCAAGGGTCACATGGAGATGTTAACATGGGAAGGGAGTTAGTAACTGTGCATGCATGTTGGCTGCCGAGCTTGTGTGCTTAACTGCCATGCAACAGCTCCCACATGGTAAGTTGTGAGCCATGCTCTCTTGGAAGAGAACAGTTTACAGGTTTGGGACTATCTGTGGATTCCTTAGAAATTGACCTTGCCTGAGCGCAAAAGTCAGAAAAATGAGAAAATATGACTCCTACAGAAATTCCACTTCCCAAGTGTTTTCACTTCACCAAAGGAGAGACTTGGGAATCAGCAGCTTCTTTGAAATGTTTATGCCATTTCTCCCAGGATAGTTCATTTGCCAGTGTCCTGTGTCAGTGGAAAGTTTGGGAAAGTATGCTTGCCACTGAAGCCTAAAGTACAATAGCATGTGCATCTCCATTTATAGCCTCTGGCAGATGTTTCTGGAATTATTAAGACATTAGGCTCTTCTAGGTTTGCTCCATTGCATAAATCTCATAAGCTACTTTGAGTCTTTCATATGACATAGAGAACATTTCTTCATTGAAAATAGTGGTATGGTCTGTGATAATGACATCAATATTTAACATGCCTTTAATCTATTGTCCTGCTATTTTATTTTATTGCCCTGCATTTAGGAATGATTTTCTAGAAGTTGTGAATTTCTTGAGAAGTTTGACATTAAAGAGTGAAGATGAAAAAACTGAATTTTTCAAGTAAGTTCAGAAAAAAACTTAGGTTTGCTAACTTGAACTAAACATGTTAAGCATGTCGGTGATCTAGGTAGGGGTGGATCAGACTTCTGACTTCATAGTGGTTACTGAACTTTCCTACTTGTACTGGTAATGCAGGCATAGCTAGACTGGTAACTTAAGTGTAAAGATGGGTACAAGCCTTGCTTTCCTGGGAGGGAGTCTCAGGACAGAGAAACAGGAGTGAACACACAAAGGCTGTGATCTGTGTAGCAAATGGCAAGCACTTGAATCCTACTGGAGGGCAGATTTCAAAACAAGAACAGGTAAGAGGTGGTCCTCGTAGACGTTATTTGCAGGTAGTAGACTTCTTGCATTGAAAGCACTGAGGGGTGAAGGCATCCATGAGATAGCTAGATCTCTCTTCACTCATCATTCCATTCATGGAGGCAGGCTTAGACCATGGGAGACTTGGATTGGTTAGTATGTATTGTTCAGTCAGCGGGTAAGAGGTTGATGTAGGGGTACTGATGGCCCAGTGAAGGAGAAACTGAGATATGAAAGATAGAAATGATAAAGCTGAGGAAAAGAACCAGTGGGGGAGTGGAGGGAGCATTTGGAATTGAGGCTGGAAACTGAGCAAACTGGCAGGAGACAAGAAGGTAGAGCAGAGGCCCAGGAAGGCCGTGTATTAACACTAAGTGTGTAACAAGCAAAAGTAAAAGAACAAATAGCTAGAAGTGTAGTAGATGGATGAGTAGCACAACTAGCAGAGAACAGAGGTCACATGACCAGACTGGGGGCTAACCATCTCTTTTTTGTTAGATTTCTGCTGGACAGAGTGAGCTGCTTGTCAGAAGAATTAATAGCTTCGAGATTGGTGCCTCTTCTGCTTAACCAGTTGGTGTTTGCTGAGCCAGTGGCTGTTAAGAGTTTTCTTCCCTATCTCCTTGGCCCTAAGAAAGGTGAGTTTTTTTTCCAGTGTTATTAGTTATAAAGGACTTTGACAATTATTAGTTTATTTTTTTGAGTGGAGTAATATTACAGTATTCTAAAGTTAATGTTTGCCTCTAAAGGCACAGAACAGCTATTCCTCCCTAATATGATAGTTTGAACTCTGACTCAGTTACCAAAGCCCATGGGTAAATATGGAATATCTTTATGGAACATCTTACATCATAAGTGGTTACACACACACACACACACACAGAGGCACACACAAATGCAACATGGGGTGTATGTGAACCTTTAATGGGTAAAGCATACATTCTCAGGTATCTTTTCGGTCATTCTTAGACCTGTGTTTCCTCAGTTACTAAAAGCAACCCATGTTGTATTTTTAGTAAAAAGGTTGAGAATCTCCAAGACCATTTTTATTTCTTGAAACTGTGCGTTTCAAAACAATTGCTTTGAAACTTTATAAGATTTGTAAGACTATAGTCTTTAGACAGTAACACATCAGGCTAAAGAACTTACTTTTAATATGCTAAAGAATTTAGAGTAAGGTTGAATCCTGCTTTAAGGATTCATTTGTTTGTTTATCGAGATAGGGTTTCTCTGTATAACCTTGGCTGTCCTATAACTCACTTTATGGACCCGTCCTCCTGCCTCTGCCTCCCAAGTGCTGGGACTAAAGGCATGCATCACCACTGCCCGACTCATTCTCTTAAATTAAAAAAAATAATAATTTTATGTATATGAGTGTTTTACTTACATGTATGTGTATTACATATATGCCTGGTCCCCATGGAAGGTACAAGAGGGTACTGGATCCCCTGAAACTGGAGTTAGGAATTATTGTAAGCTGCTATGAGTACTGGGACCTGAATCTGAGTCCTCTGCAAACGCCTTTGTTCTTAACTAACGAGCCATCTCTCCTGCCCCCGAGTTCATTTCCTTAACTGGTGTCATTCCAACAGATACTATGGGTAGTTATTTCAATTTAGAATTGCATTTTATTTCTGGATCGAACATATTTAGTCTTGAATGTTCCCTTACAGCTCTCCATCCTCACTGGATTTGAGGGAGAACCCATGAATCATCTCAGTGTTCTTTAAAGATGAGTTTTGCCCTACCCACTAACCAGGGTCAGATGGGATGCAGACAGCCCTTGAGACAGTAAAGCCTTTAAGTAAATTTGAATCCACATAAGAAATCCCTTTAGCTTGGGGCTTAAAATTCTAGACAGATAGATAAAATATGTGTAAAATTCTGGACTCAGTTGACGACCTTTTCCCCCTGAATGACATGTCTGTACCTTCTGATGTCTGGTAGAGAATGCACCAGGAGAGACTCCATGCTTGCTCTCACCAGCACTCTTCCAGTCACGGGTGGTCCCTGTGCTTCTCCAGTTGTTCGAGGTCCATGAGGAGCATGTGCGGATGGTATTACTGTCCCACATCGAAGCCTACGTGGAGCACTTCACGCAGGAACAGCTGAAGAAAGTCATCTTACCACAGGTTAGGACCATGTTGGCAGTGGGAAGATGAGAGAGTGCATAAGGCTGCTGCCACCTTAAGAAATGAATAGAGGGAGAAGATTTTCAGATAATAGTTCAAAGCCTTGAGACAGTGATTGAGTTTAGTTCATTCCAGTCTTCTTGACCAATCAATTAACATAAGATGTTTAGTCTTAGGCTGTGAGCAGCAATGATTCTGTTTGCTCATCTTGTAGGTAAATGAGAAGACAAAAACAAGCCTAAGCAGACCAGTCCATGGCCCCTCACTAGCATTTGTGCAATAATTACATCATGATAATTGCCACAGAGAGAACATGAGATTGTTATCAGTGATTGTCAACCTGTTTATCCACCATAGGGAATGTTAGGATTTGCTTGCCCAAGGTTTATAGTCATTTTTTTATGCCATAAAAAATTATCAGAACTGACTGTGGTGGTGCACGCCTTTAATCCCAGCACTCAAGAGGCAGAGGCATGTAGACTTTGGGAGTTCGAGGCTAGCCTGATCTACATATCAAGTTCCAGGATTGGTAGGGCTGTTACACAGGGAAACCCTGTATCCAAAAAAAAAAAAAAAAAAAAAACAACAACAACAACAAAAAAAAAAAAACAGTGACATGGATCAAAATAATAAGAATATATCTGAAGCACTGGAAAACTAAAGTGGGAAGTGAAGGTGCAGCTGTTTGCTTCTAAGGGCCTGCAAATTAAGCCTTGATGCTCCCAGAAACGATACTTAGTTTACGCATCTTGCTGGGCAGCTGTATCAGGCAGTCTGCATCCATTTTCATGGAGCCTTTGCTCTGCGGCTGGCTCATAATTTGCCTATTTGGGAGTGGGGTTGGCAATCCATGATGGATTGGAAGGGCAAAATATTGTTTCTTTCCCATAGTTAGTTGAACTGCTGAGGAATGTCTAGGAAAATATTATTTAAAGCATTATGGCTACAGGTCAATTGCTCTTCTCCAGGAGGCAGAGGTAGTGGCTGCCTGCACTCATGACCAGTTTTGCTCCTAGGTACTACTGGGCCTTCGTGACACCAGCCATTCCATTGTGGCAGCTACTCTTCGTAGCCTGGCGGTGCTGGTATCTCTACTTGGACCAGAAGTGGTTGTGGGTGGAGAAAGAACCAAGATCTTTAAGCGTTCTGCTCCAAGTTTTACCAAGACTAGTGACCTTTCCCCTGAAGGTAAGATTCAACTTTGTTTTAATAAGTTTTTGTTATTATATGATACAGGTTTTATTTTGAGGTAAATGGTCAAGTATGAGGATAGTTCAGTTTCCCTTTTCAGACTCCTCATAGTGGGTACAAAGTGATCTTTAATGGCTCAGTAAAAATCTTTTTAAACCCACAAAGGGATACAGAAACTACACACTCAATATATGTGGATTTTATAGGATTATATTTAATAATGCTATGCCCAGCTCTATAGCTTATTTTCATGTATTGTATACTAAAGATGTGTTTCGAGGTCAATACAGAAAAACCTCACTTTTACACCCACTATTTCACGGAATCCAATTCAGTGATTTATAGCCATAGCTGTTGTATCCACTGCTAGATTTTTAATCAGTGTATAATCTGTAGTACCATAAATATCCTTGCAGATGCATCTTTATTATTTGGAGTTCCACTGCCATAGGATAACTCAGTCTCAGAAGGAGACTTTGTGGGTTAGAGGATATAATTGAATTTCAGTAGGGACTATTAAAGACCATTGTTCTTTTTAACACTATATCCATAAGTTCTTTTAACTTTGTTGGACTATTAGGTAAAAGCTATTTTGAGTACTTCAGGAAATCTTTGATTTTGGTTTGTTCCCACTCTATTCTATGTGGGAGGCAGCACGAGAACTTTATATCAACAATGTCATTGCCTTTTTGCTACTTTGTATGACCTTGAATATGACCATGATTTCATTACAGAATTCTGGTCTCTCTAATGCAGTTCTTTGGCTTGTAGTGCTAGGCCCTGAGGGCTGAGGGTGAAGAAGAGAGGTGCTAGAGAGAGCTGAAGCCTTATTATGACAGTTGACTCCCCTTACCCTAGCTTTAAGGTAGGGGAAATACTCAGTGTAATTTTACTAAATCTTTCTGATCAGTATCTAATCTTGAATATATGCTTTCTGGTAAACTGTTAAAGACAGCTACTTTCCTCATTCAAAGTCAGATATCCGTAGCATAACTTATTTTAATTATTTTCAGTATTGTAATTTTGTGGTATTAAGTTATTAATATTGTTCACTCTGTACTCTTATACTAGCCTTTTATTCTTAAAAGGAAGTCAGAATCCAGGGCTTAGATTGCTATCAAAATGATTTTAAGAACTGTAACTTACCAAGGCTTCCTAAAAATCTTATCTATGCTGTGCTTCATAGTTCTGTCCCATCCCCACCACATTCAGTGGATGCAACCTGTCTTAAACCTCCAGAGACAAGTGACCCATTTAACAATGGGTTTTGGTCAAATATTTGATATTCTTTTCCCTTTTACATATACCATTCCCCTTGACTGTTGCTTACCAATCAAGTGCTAGATCAGTAAGCCCATCCTCTCCCTTCACTTTCTTCAGGTTCTCCCATGCATGTTGTCTGCAGCCAGCAGAGTAGGCTCTCACACGTCTCAGAGAACCCCTCTTCTAACTCATTCCCTAAATGGCTGTTTTCTGGCAACACGACCATCAACAGCAAGAAGCACATACAGGAAGAGTGTTGCAATACTCTTCTACAGCCAGGTAAGAATTTTAACTGAGGTTCCTGGGGCTTTGATCTGTTCCTGAGAATATTAAGCTTAAATTCTGAAAATCAAGTGCACTTTGGAATGTCTCTATACTTCTCTATTCACCGCTTTAAACTGTTGTTTATACACTTAGCCTTTCTACATAATAAGTTAACATTACTTGAATTCATTTTTATATCAGTTGCTTTGGTATTTTTATGTCTTCTGCATCATAAATGTACCAAAAATAGAGTTGTAAAGATGTTAATAACGACGTAGTGGAAAATGTTTTGCAATTAAGTTTGAGGAAGTGGTAGCTGAGTAAACCTAGATTTCTTAGCACCTTGGTAACATTTAAGAAAATCTGTTTCAGATTTATTTGGGGGCTGGAAAGATGGCTCAGCAGTTCAAAGAACAAATCACTCTTGTAGGAAACCCAAGTTTGGTCCCTAGCACTGGCTTCTAACTCCAGGTCCAGGAAATCCAATGCTTCTGGCCTCTGTACTCACCTGTGTTTACCCACACACAGACACATAATTAAAAATGAATCTTTGAAAAATAAAGTGGATTAGAGAGATAGCTCAGGAATTAAAAGCACTTGCAGTAAAAGGCTAATACCCCAAGCTCAGTTTTGGGAACCTACATAAAATAGAACCAACTATGTAGCAGTCCTGTGCCTCCACACCTGCACTGTTGCATCCACGCACCCAGAATGTGGGAGACCCCACAGTAAATAATTTTTAAAACAACTTACTTGAGCATACATTTTTAGATACAATTACTAGGTAAGACTGCATCTGTATTATTTACAGATACTTATGCCAATGAGCGTGTGAATATTTAGTCAAAGATCTAATGATGAACTAATTATGACATAGTATGTTTGCTTCTTTTGAGTTAAGTGTATTTGAGTATTTTTAAGTAATTAGACTTTATGCTTGCTTGCTTGCTCTTAACATTTTATAAGACTAATTCATGCGTATCTCATAGGTGATCAGTTTTCTCACTCTATTAAATTCCCTATGAATGGAATCTCAGAGGACAACGGGAAGCTCCCAGCAGGTTCGAGTGAGCCTGAGGAGTGGCCTGACTGGGGCGGGCCTGAGGAGTCCGAGCACCACACTGCCGGTGCTCAGATGCGGCCCCACCAGCCTGGTGCGGAGTCCCAGCACAGGAATCCGACCGCAGAGGAGCGCTGGGACGACTGTGAGTCTAGCCCTGGTCCTGCAGTAGCTACAGTGGCTGCCGCCTCTGCTGCCATGCCTGTTACCTCAGGAGAGCAGAAGCCCACTGCAGCACAGCTTCCTCTCACTCAGCACTCTACGCCTTTGAAATGCAGCCCTTCCTCAAAGACCAGTCACATACAGCGTGGGGACGTTAAACCACCAGAAGTGTCCCAAGAAAGACCCCTTAAAGTTCGGGCAGAACTTGGTTTAGGAGAAGAGTTTACCATACAAGTAAAAAAGAAGCCAGTACAAGATCCTGAGTTGGACTGGTTTGCAGATATGATCCCAGATATTAAGCCTTCAGGTACTTTCCTTATTTTGCCTGAACTGAGGACAGAAGTGATGGTCCCTGACAAGGACGATGTCTCCACAGTGATGCAGTTTTCCTCAAAATTTGCTGCAACAGAAATGACTGAGGTGAGTTCATTCTTTACTAAAAGTGCTAGTCAGGGTTTCCCTTGGAGGTCCTAGTTAACAATAAACAAGTATTTTTCTTAATGGAGTATCATACATAGCTAATTAAAATGATCAAATTAAACCTAGAATAAATAAAACCAGTTCCTAGGAATGATTTCTTTTCATGATTATTGAAAAAAAGACTAATCCCTCAGGCATGTCCAACCTATTGACATGACAGCCATTGTTATGTACAAAGTTTATAGTTCAAAACTGTTCAAATAATCACATTGCCAAACTAAAATCTTGGGGTTGGAGATGGCTCTGTGGTTAACAGTACTGGCTATTCTTCTAAAGGACCCAGGTTTGATTCCCAGCACCCTTAGAATGTCTCACAACTATCTGTAACTCCACTTCCAGGAGATTCAGTTGCTCTCTGACCTCTACAGGCACCAGGCACAGGCACATGGTGCATAAAAATGCATACGCACGAGACACCATACACATCTTTAAAAGAAACCTCCATTTGTGTTATACCTTGTGTAGGGCTGTCCTTGGCCATGCCAGGTCTACCTGCTATATGATTACCTCCTTGATTTAGGAAAAATCTGACCCTGTTTACTGGACTACACAGTTACTTTCCAATGGATGTGGCATGTAGCATTACAACCAATGCAATCTCACTTTAACTTTTGGTTGGTTTTATCTTTACTTATTGTGAGGCAGTCGGTCTCTTCTGGTATTATAAACAAATGGGTCATTCTTAAAAGCTCGGTGTATATAATTTGCCTCAAGTAGTTGGTGTGTTCTGTTATAGGGAGAGGCAGAAGGCTGGGAAGAAGAAGAGCTAACCTGGGAAGATAACAACTGGTGACAATGAGGGAGAGCTTAAACTTCAGGAAGAATTCTAAAAGAAGTAATACCTCAAAGCAAGCTGCATGGATGTTAAACCCCAAAGCAGCCTGTGTTCCCCAAACCAGAAGCTCTTTTTGCAGTCTGTGCCAACCAACTCAAGCATGAGACCAACTTCAAGTTGCTGACTAAGCCGTGAGTGGCAGAAGGCTCTCAGTTCCAAATTCTAGGAAGAGTCTGTGTGCACTTGACCGAGGCCAGTTCCATGAAAAGTAAGTAGCTAAAGAAGTGCTTTTTCCAGGAAATTTCTGGAAATAAAATAAAAAATTCAAGCCGGTAAGCTTAATTTTGTGCCATTCTTTAAAAGAGTAAGCTCTACTATGAAATAATGACTTACTGAAAAAAAAAAAAAGTCTAGCTGTAAATTATAACTGAAACTGCTAAGGTTCCTTAAGCAGCTTATTTATTTGTTTACAATTTATCATCTGAGTAAAAGAAAGGTCCCTCCTTTGGACCTACCTGGGCAGTTACTGTTTCACGTGTATTACACTGTACCAAAGTTCTCAATGAGAAACATCCCCCATCTTGTTCTCTGTGTCAAATAAAGACTATTTTCACATTTATAAAAGCTTTTATATGTGCAATGAAAATGTACAATACATAATTTACATTCATAATTTCATTTACAAAACATCCAGGCAAGGCGGTTGATGAGGAATCAGAGTCCATTCATATGTTACCCTCAGGTATACAGCATTTTAGCTTCTCAATCTTTTCTTTTAGTGTCTCCAGTTCCACTGGCAGCCAGGCTGGAGCAGGGGCCTGTTGGAGTAACCACTCAGTTGTATCCAAAGCCCCTACTGCTGCTTGAAATGCTGACCTATACTCTTCTTCAAAGGGGAACTCATGCCGGGCTCTTTTTGTGCAAGGCTGAGAAATAAGGAGAGCATAAAACAAGTAATGCCATAATGTAAATTCTGAAAACAATTTAAGAGAAACTGCAGTCATGGGATCCCAAACTGCTCCCTCCCCATCTCTAATCATATCTCATTCTAATTATATGTGGCAGCCAAGGAGAACCCTCCTATGCTAGTCCCCCACTGACAAACGTTGTCTTGCCCAACAACTATCAATAAGTATTCTTTAAAAACACCATTAAAAGAAATAAAATGTGATTTCCCAAATACTAAGTTTATAAATGATGAGAACCACAGGCTCAAAACATCTTGCACAGGGAGGGGGAAGAGGGACTGAGACCCAGACATATTTAATAATCAGTTTTCCAAAGGGGTGTCACAATTTAAATTCACAGGGCTTATGAGCATAACTGGTTTATATTGAACTTTATTTGCTTCAGGATTACAGCTACATCTTAAAAGGAAAAAACAAAAATTACTACTGCCTAAAATCCCAAATTATAATTGTACTTATGTTAAAAACAAAATTTTGAATGTACGTAGTGGTGTCAAATTTCTTCCGGTTAATAGGTACATGTGGTATTTAAAGAAAAGTGATTGAGGCTGGATGGATGAGGAGACATGAATTAAACATGCTGATTGGTATCTATGGGTCAGAAAATACATTTATGTCATCATTGATACAATATGTAACTTCTAAAAATAAAGAGTATATTTGTTAAAATGTTTACAACTATTTTTTGTAGCTTTTGTCTGTTGATAACAATTCAGGAAAGATATGGTTTTGTTTTTGATGTGCTTTTGACCATAAAATGGGAATTTTATATGCTTAGACTTTGATATTCAACATGAGGACAAGAATCAAACTATCAATAATGAGCAAAGACATTCCATCGTTTTACTATTAGCCATACTGAAAAACAGTCCATACCTGTAAGGCCAACCCATCTGCTTCCTCTACAGTGGGTTCCAAGAAAGCGACTTTCTGTTTCACACGATCCACTCTGGCAACTTCAGTTTCATCTACAAATCCTGTCTGTCAAAGATCATCAAAAATTACTGACAAATTAGCATTCTCTACTAGATACCAAGGGGTATGAGATTTAGAAAAGGAAACCAACTAGTTTATGTGTATGTCTGTAAATACTGAGTGTTAAACCATTCTGGCTTGACCTGTGACGAGGCAAATTCTATGTTAGATAAACTCATCTTTTAGTGCAATCTGAATACAATCCCCTTAGAGCAGTGGTTCTCAATCTTTTTAATGTTGCGACCCTGTAACATCTCATGTTGTGGTGACTATTTCACTGCTACTTCATTGACTGTAATTCTGCTACTGTTATGAATCATAATGTAAATATCTGACATGCAGGATATGTGATATGTGACCTCATGTTGCAAAGGTTTTTGACCAACAGGTTAAGGACCAGAGTGTTCTTAAAAGTGCCTTAGAATATTTTTCACTACAGAATTAAGTGTTCTCTCTCCAAGGAAAGTATGTTACACATTCAACTTACTGTACATGGTGTGGTGCTGGCAAAGCAATTACTTACCCAGGCATTTAAGCCGGGCAGTGGTAGTTCATGCCTTTAATCCCAGCACTCGGGAGGCAGAGGCAGACAGATCTCTGTGAGTTTGAGGCCAACCTGGTATACAAGAGCTAGTTCCAGGACAAGATCCAAAAGCAACAGAGAAACCCTGTCTTGAAAAATCAAAAAACCAAAACAACACTACATGTACTTAAAGTTCAGCCTAGATAATAACTGTAACACACCTATTTATAATGTTTAATAACAACTCATGTAAGTAATTTATAAAGTACATAGAACCTAGTTAAATATGTGCTAAAGTATAATTTCTACTTCCTGTGCTAAAGTATAATTTCTACTTCCTGGTATTCTTATCTTTATCTTATTGCTAAGGTAATCAATGCTATTATATCTCAAACTTTTAGGTACATTGACTGAAAGTGATTTACTTCTCTGATGTACATTCTTTTGTTTGTATTTTTGAGGCAGTTTCTTTGTTTAACAATTCTAGCTGTCCTGGAACTTGCTCTGTAGACCAGGCTGACCTCGAACTCACAGAGATCTGCCTGCCTCTGCCTCCTGAGTGATGAGATTAAAGGTGTGTGCCACTACTGCCCACCTGATGGATGCTCTTAACTGATTCATATAAGTTGTGTTTCCCTTTACATTTTTACAAAATGCTTCAGAATTCTTTCAAACACTCAGATACTGTGGGGATAGGCTCCAAGTATGAACATGAAATTCATGCCTGAGGTAATTTTATACAATATTTTTGTGAAATTAGTAAAATACTAAATATTTAGTAAGATACTAAATATTACTAAAATGAATAATCTTATGCATGACATACAGTTTCACTGCAAGGTATTTTCTATGTTTTTGCCTCATATTGGTGGCTCACAAAGTTTCAGATTTTGGAGTACTCTGGATTAGGGATGCTTACCTAGCCTATCTGTATTAGCACTGTGCAAAACACTCAGTAGGAAAGCACTTGTCTAGCGTATGCAAAGCTCTGGTTCAAACCCCAGAACCAAGAGGAAGCTAAAGTGATTACAAATAGATAATTTTAAAAATATGCTAAAAAATAAAACGTGGCTTTATACATAAATAAATACCTTCTCCAGAAAGGCTACAACTTTGTTCTTGATGTCTTCAGAACTGAGACACTGTGGAACTAGCTCTTCATGATTTGTTACCTATTAAAAGATCAGTAAACAAGACAGATCACACATAGTTCAGCAACTTGTGGAGCCAATAGATTTTTTAACTACCTTACCTGAAAACTCGCTTTAAAAGAAAGTAGTACCCAAGGATTCTCAAAGTTCTATAAAGACTTATGTAATTTTGGCTTCTATATATGTGGTGCTGCAAGGTTTAATTACTTATTAAACCCAAGGCTTGACTGCACAGAAATGGATCAGAGCAGTAGCAATTCCAAAAGAGACCTTCCACCAATGCTGCTGAAAGCAGTGTCTGAGTCAGGCACTTGACTCCAAATTTTTAATCCTTGCTCATCAGAGAACCTTGGGAAAAGTCACTTCATTTCTCTAGGCCTTATAAATGAGGTTTTGTAAACATACAAATATCTTCTCAGCAGAAAATTTCACAACTGAGATACATAAGTACCTCAATATTTCTAATATCCCAAAACATTTAAAAATACTAAATTATGGGAGCATGAGGACCATGGAAGATGGTTGAAGGGGAGAGGCAGGGAGGGGAGCAGAAAAAAATGTACAGCTCAATAAAAATCAATAAAAAAAATTATATTTCCTAAATAAAAATTAAAAAAAAGAAATACTAAAATATCAATATGATAAACTGGTCTTACCTCAGCAAATTGAGTAAAAGCCTCCAAAGTATGTTGCTCTAGCAGCCAATTCCTGTTGGCTAGCAATAAAGCAAAGATACAAGGCAGGTTGGGCAGCACCTTGTCCTACAAAGAGAACCAAATCTTGCTGTAGAAAAAAACTTCAATATAGGATACTGTCTACTTTTGGGACACATTATGTTCTTCTATTCCTTGCTCAAATTCTCCTAATAACTTCCAATTTCCTTTAGGGTGAAACCAAGGGTTTACAATGACCTGCAAAGCTTTGTACTTGTTCTCTATACCCTGCTCAAAACATGGCTTTCTCCTTCCCTTTCATATTTATACTCACCTGTCACCCAAGTAAGGGCTCCCTTTTCCTATCCCCTCATACTGCCCCCCTCTTCTGCTCTATTTTCTCCCATAGCACTCACTACTCACTACACTACGTTATCACAGCATTGTTGTCAGCTGCTTCAGCGAACTGAGAATGGGGCTACTACACCGCCAGTCGTTAAACCAGCACCTCCACGTGTGCTTATGTGAGCCTGCTGGATATGCTCATCAACCTCCCATCTCTTCAGGACCTGACCTTACCAGACCAGGTCTGTAAGGCACTGCTATTCTGACAACAAAGCATTTGTTGTATGGATTCTGCAGCCATGCACCACCTACAAATCTGCACGAACAAAACAGCACTCTAGAATAAATTTATTTTATAATAAAGAGTACATGTCTGAAACCAGCCTGGGCTACATGTTAAGACCTTTTCCAAAAAAAGGATGACTGCTCAAATGCAAGTTGGTACTTCTGTCAAAAGGAGAAAAGCTGCCACCATCTGTGTTTATCTCCTGAATCATAAGTTGACATGATAGAAACGGGTGAATTAGTGTCATTTTCTTGTGAATAAGTAAAAGAAACCTTTTAGAATTCTACTTCTTTTCATGTGTACTGAAATACAGCCCATCATTGACTCTGAAAAGATTTTCGCCAGAGAGCTTTTTACATTCTCCCCTTTGAAGGTAAAACAAAGACAAGAATCTAGAAACCCTGGGATTTTATTATAATAGTAAGACAAAGCTCCTGGTTT